TGACTAGTGTTTCGCTGCATGTGGCTACATCATGTTGGCCAACATGATTTATTCACAAAACCTCAGAGCTTTAAATTTATCGCTGAGAACTGGCTTGAACAACCAAAGCTCATAAATTTTTTTTTTTAAACACACAACATCTCGTTAATTCATATTTGTACTTACCTAACTCATGAATACAAGCGTCCGGAAATAACTGAAACAAAATTTGCCCACCTAAGCGCACTTTTGCCATAACGGAAGATGAATTGAAAAATTAAGGCGTCGAAATATTGGAGACGTATCAGCGTTGTAGATCCTTTCTTAACGCCTTTATGAATATCTAAAATTAAAGCGGATTTCGCTTTGAGCAAAAAGTCAACCTCAAATAAACTCACTCTGGGCTTGCAGTTTAAAACCGAGGCTTGGAACATAAGCGAAACCTTTGAAAATGGACTGAGCACAATTCCACTTTGTCTTTGCTACTTTTCTCGATCTCGAGATGGTTATAATTACGCCTTGTATTCTATTTGGTATAATTAGTGCTAAATTGATAGCTGCTTGTCTGATTATCACCTATTAACCTTCTGCTGCGTCTACCGCCACCACCTGCTATTAGTGCACTTATGCGCCCAAAGGTTGTTTTTTTTTAAATCTTATTTTTAGCCTAACATTAAGAGCCTTCTATTACAATGATATGAACAACAATAGCTTCTAATCAGTTCTCAACCCGCTGCGACCCCCCTTGCAGTGAGTTTTTCGATTCCGAGTCGAAGGTCTTTCGAAGTCGTAAAAAAGCGATGTGATTGATGGTCTGCTGACAGATCGTGGGGTTTGGGATTTGTTTCGGTTCGATTTTAATTTGTGATGCCAGTGAAAAATGAGCGATCTAACAAAACCAATTCATCACTCATTTTTCCCGTGATTTCCTTTCTTCTGTAATCCTACAAAGCTTATTTTCTGTTGACAAAAGCGCAGCACTTGGTACATCGTAGCAGCTTACATGCATGCACGTAGTTTGTC